AGCCTGTGCGTTCAGCACTTTTTCCCCCCCTCCCCGTTATCATGTGACAGGCTATTTTTAATATTTGCCTGGATGTATTTTGCATCTTTCTTTGATGCAGCGAGCAGTTTTGTGAGGTTTGCCGGCGGACTGGGCTTCCTTGGCAGCGGAGCTGGGCGCAGTTCTCATGGTTCTCTGTCCATCCTGGCGTGGTTCTCCATCCACCCCGGCACGGTTCTCCGTTCATCCCGGCGTGGTTCTCCATCCATCCTGGCGTGGTTCTCCGTCCATCCTGGCGTGGTTCTCCATCCACCCCGGCGTGGTTCTCCGTCCATCCTGGCATGGTTCTCCATCCATCCCGGTGCGGTTCTCCGTCCATCCTGGCGTGGTTCTCCGTCCATCCTGGCGTGGTTCTCTGTCCACCCTGGCGTGGTTCTCCATCCATCCCGGTGTGGTTCTCCGTCCATCCTGGCATGGTTCTCCATCCATCCCGGCGTGGTTCTCCGTCCACCCTGGCGTGGTTCTCCGTCCACCCTGGCGTGGTTCTCCGTCCATCCCGGCGCGGTTCTCCGTCCACCCTGGCACGGTTCGGGCCCGCGGTGGCAGGAGCGGAGCTGGGCTGGGCTGCACAGGGCAGGGACACGTGCCTGGAGCACATGGTCCTGCAGGCAGCCCCAGCCGCACGTGAGGCTCAATGTGAACAGCAGCTCCTGCTCCCAGCATGGCCATGCTGGAGCTGCTCCTTCCCATCCGCACGTGGGAGGCCAGAGGTCAGGAGATTCCTTCCTGCGGAGAGCCTTCGGCCTCTGGGAGAGAAGGGGTTCCTGCAGCAGCCGGGGACGGCTTGTAAACAGTGATTAAAGCTCAGCAGAGGATTCCACGCACAGGCTGGCAGCTGGGAATGCTGCCCTGCGCTCTGCCAAGCTGCGCTGGAGGAGGAGATCACGTTCAGGAGCGCAGGGGAAGGGAGGCTGCAATAAAGGGAGTGCTGCACACACACCCTTCGGGGCTGCCCCGGCACCTCCTCACCCCACATGAGCTGCAAGCAGCAAGAACAAGCCTCTCCCAGCTGGCTGCAGCGCCTGGCACAAACACCAGCTCCCAAAAACGCTGAAACCCACCCAGCGGTGCTGCTGTCACTCACTGCAGCTCAGTGCCTGTGCAAGAAGCTGGAGGTAATGGATCCTGTGCTCTAGACAGAATATCTGGACCGAGCAAATAAACCACAGCATTTCATAAAAATCTTTGAGGGGAGGGAAGTGTAAGTGCACTTCACATGGAAACAATTCTCAGCTTTTTGATTAATGAGCCTCTAATTTTACTTTTAAGTGAAGACTTGCAGATATTGCATGTAGGTATATGTCTGCAGTGGATTATAAAGCTTGTTCTCCTTTTTTTTTCTTTCCTTAAATAATCCTTGGCAAGTAGTCTAAAGCACCCAGTCATGCAGGCAACACAGACAAAAAACCAACATCAGAGAACACAAAGAAAGAGGGAGCTCTCTGAAACCCCAACAGCCCTGTTCTCCTTTGGAGCAAGGCAGAAACAGCTCCCGCTTATTACTGTGCCAGCAGCATCCTTGTGACACAGCCCCACATCCAGGGCTTTTTGGTGACAAACAGAAAATTCAGATCTAAACCACAATATCCCAAAAACCTTCTAGTTAGGATTCTCCACCAGATCTAGCTGATGCTTCTTTAATTCAAACCTTTCAAACCCTTTATAGTACCTGCCCCAACCACCTCCATCAGGGCTACATGGGGGCAAGAGCCAGGTGAAATGCAACAACCAACTAGCTACTTTCAAAATACACACCCTGCCTTTACATACAAACAGCTAAAAATTACTACAAATTTCCTTAAGGACTCTGCATTTAAAGGGAGATTTACGAAAGACTACATGAGGTGCGCAACACGAAGAACCACAAAGTGTGTTTGCAATAATGGGTTGCTTTGAAAGCTTCATAAAAATTTGAAAACCTTTTTCAGAAGAGACCACAGATTTCAACCCACCTACCAGCATGCAATACCAAGACAAAACAGAAAGTTTTAAATGCATCTACACATTGCAATGAATGCTAGTCTGCAATGCTAAAAATCAATCAAAATACCATTTTTTATTAACAAAATCAGCATTATGAAAGATAAATACACAGTTTCACTTTTGCAGGTCATTACCGTGTCCCTAATCAAAACAAAGCCAGAAATTTCTGTACCTACATTCCCTGAGCAGAAATGTATATAGGAAGTAGGTGCTCAGTTTATTCTTTGCAGATGATAAACTGGTGAGCCTAAACATCTTTCCATTGACCAGACAATCTGAGCTGGAAATACAGAATCCTCTATGTTGCCATTACATTTTTGAGCAGGGAGAAAGAAAATCAGTGAGGATTTTGGTAATGTCACGTCCACAGCCAGGGTCAAGCACAGCTTTGCTGAGTGTGATGACACTCAGGGAATGCCAGTGCAGATCTCCTGATCTCTTCCAGCCACGGCACAAAACACGTTTGGGCAACACCACTCACTCCTACGGACAGATGAGGCTTGTGCTGGAACACATGCAGAGAATTAAATCTCCTCATGCTGCTCTGCCATGGACCATCCCTGGCAGGGTGGATCCCTGAGTCACAGAGTCACAGCCGGGCTCCACGTGCGGGGAATGTCCCCAGACAGGGACAGGGCGTGGGGACCACCTGCCCCTGAGCCCCACACAAACCCCAGAGCCCTCCAGAGGGACAGGACCCCTCCTCTGGCCACACACGCTCAAACAGGCTCCCATGGCAGAGCAAACACACCAGTGAAATATTTTTAGAATTATCACCTAAAACATAGTTTTCACCTAAAACATGCAGTGTTCCTGGAAGTAGTAGGATCACGTGGAATTAATCTGTATAGAAATTGTATACTTCCTACGACTTATTCTTTGCTTTATTACAGTAACACAAATCATAACACAATGATAGCTCGCACCAACTAAAAACCTTCCTTTATGTGACAATAAAAAAAAAAAATCTATTTTAAATGTTTTAAGATATATTAAGCAACAGGCTCCATTACAATGATTTTAATATTTACCTCCCTATTCCAAAGCAGCACATTTGCTTGACTCTTTTATGATAAATCTTAAATGCTCATTTTTACTAAATTTCAGAAAAAATATATGCTCCTATATTCTCAAACTTGCTCAAATGCTGAACTGTGAGATGGTCTTCTCTTCAGTACTGATTGTCAAAGAAAGGTTTTCACATGACAGCACATAAAAATTCCAACAATCTGATGATAAACCAGACTACTGTTAATGAAGCCACACTTCCTATCTGTAATGGGGACAAGAAAATATTTAAGAAGTGAAATGAGCTCCCTTAAAAAAAAAAAAACAAAAAAAAAAAACACAACATTTAACAAAAAAATATATTCTTGTTAAGGCAAGATGGTGTTGGGAAAAATATCTGCAAATTTAGATGTTTTATCCTACCCCAAGAGACATAATGTCCTTTACAACAGTAAAAAAGTGCACTGAGGTAAGTTTGTAACCCTGAGCTGCAAAGGGCTCAGGAAAAACTGAAAAAAAATCAATGAGTTGAAAAGTCACACAGATAGCTGATTACAAATAAATTCTGACAGATGATCATTAAAAGCCTGGCTCACTACCAGGCTCCTCTAAAAAAAGAGAGAATGGGGACAGGTTATCTGCTTTTAATTTTGTGTGTGTGCAAGTGACAGAAAACAGTGTAGCATATATGCACTATTTTTAAAGCTGGCCCAGAAAAAGCAACAGGTTTCATGTTCTGCTCTTGCCTACTCCAAATATATTTTAACTTTGGACACCCTTTTAAGTTATTAGTTAACCATGAAAAGCCTTGAAAGTGAAACACGAGCAAAGTCAAATCGACACAAAGTAAAAGTAAGTAAATGAAATCCATGACAAAACACACAGTTCTGATGGGGAGCCAAGGAGTATGCTGACAGGCTTGGGGAGCTTTGGGGGAATATTTTATTCCTGTCACTAGACAGGAACATTGCAGACTTTTAAGACATTTCTATTTCATCCTGCTCCACAACTTTTGCCTCTATATTTATTTATTTTGCCTCCTTATCAGATGATTCTGACAATGACTTCGCACACTGAGCATGGCAAACGATCAAGCAGAAGGGAGAGGAGTGGTTTCCTGCTGCCAAAAGCACACCTCATGTGAGCAGAAGAGCACAATAAATAAGTCACTCTCTGTATTTTTTTTTTTTTTTAAGGAAAAAGGCAAAGCTCCATGTTTCCCAAACTTCAATGCTGACACTCTTCCACTACCCATGATCTCAGCCATGCTGGTGTCAAGCCAGAGGAGTTAACTCTGGATTCGGACTGGTGTCTCTAAAGGGATGATCTCAAGTGCTAATAAAATAATAAAAGACTTCCACTGACATCAGACAGGCTGGAATTGTGCATTACAACCAGGCCTTGGACTCCACAGTGTTTTCTTAAGCGTAAGGTGACTACAGATGCAAGTCATGAACTCAGGTCAGAGTTACACTCAGTTTATGCCAATTTAAGCAAGATTATAATGTTGTTCCAAAACTCAGTTCCTGTGGCAAATTTTACTTTGCTCAGTAGAGAGTAAGATTATGGCCAAAATTTCAAGTAAGAAGCATTAACCTTTAACTCCAGAATAACTGCCCACTCCTGTGTTCTCACATCAAATATTGGCTGAAGAAATATTCTCTCTCACAGTTCTTTTCCCTGCTCTTTTAACACTGTGGCACCTATGCCATTCTGTCTGTGGTCTTTTTACTTGCTAACAGCTAAGACACCAACTAAGCCAAGTTTCCATGGAATTCTCAGAGCTTTCCTTCAATAATTTAAACAGAAATCCTGGTGGAGCAGCTTAGTGATAACTGGAGCTATTGTTTTTATCTGGAATCCTCTGGGCTCTAAGCTGCCTGTCAGCTGCACAGGGAGAAGCAGTGATTTACAGTGGGGAGGAGGGGTTCATGCCAAATTCCACAGGGAAGTTCTAAGGGCTGATTTACCTGGTCTGACTGGGCTCTGCATGCAGTTCTGCGACACCATGCCTGGATGGACTGAAGTAGAAGCCCTGCTGCTGAGGTCCATGACAGAAGGTGATGCTGAGGTAGCTTGCTGGAGACCTGACTGGTGTGGGCTAGGCTCATGCTGGTTTGGGCTGGGTGGAATGCCATTTTCTGAGAGGAATTCTTCCAGGTCCATGTATTCCAACTGGAAAGTGTCTCCATCATATGGCAGTGTCTTGTCCCATAATGTTGGACCCAAGAAAGCTGACTGAGGGACTGTGGTACCAGTGCTGTCATCATCTAACTTCTTCTCTTTGTCTTTTTCTTTACCGAATGCTTCAACAAAAACACATAACAAACATGTAAGAATTCAGTAATTAAAATATTAACTACTACTACTTCCATTATTTCTGCTGTACTCTCAGGTGTAAGAAATTAATATTCCCTTCAAAAAAATAATTCCTTTGACTCACTCTACTGGGAAGAGAATTGAGAAGTCGTGTCACTGGGCACCTTTGTGGGAACCAACCACATTTTGAGACTGCCCTTTGTTTTTAGTTAACAGTTCCACTCCATGCACAGCTTTTAACGTTAGCATTAAAAAGTACTCAACAGACTTAAAAGTGAACATTTAAGTATTCCAGCAAACTGGAAGCTATTGATACATTCTGTTGAAAAGCAACAGTCTTAGCCTAAAATCCCTGGGATCCTGTCATTCTTCTAAACTAAGGTCTCAATCTTGCTAGTCCTAGCACAAGCAAAATAGTCTTCAAATTCTGCACTTCTAAATTTACTGGTATACAGTGGCAAAGGCTGACTGAACACAGTTTTGATGTGCAGAAGAGACAACAAAATATTCAAAGGTAGAAGCAAAAAAAAAAAAAAAAAAAAAAAGCTTAACTAAGGCTTCCTCATTTCTACAGCCCCCAGTGATTTCATTGCACGCTCTGTAAGGGAAACGCCTGATTTCTCTGGAAAATCTGCAAGAATCTGAACTCCTAAAGCTTCCTGTCAGCTACCAAGCCTCCGCAGCATTTTATTTTTAAGCTCATACAACAGCCCCGGTGAAATCCCACGAGTCGCTTGGCAGTGGGACTCGCAAAGCCGAGGAGACGGAACTGTGAGACCTTCCCTCGCTTTGCGCTTTCCGTGCGCCATACGCGGTGCGGGCATTCCCGAGCTGCCTCCGCTTCCCGGGGAACCGGGGGACGCGGGGCCGGAGCGGCTTGCTGTGGGGCCGGGGATGGGGATCCCGGCCCCCTCTGCCCGAGGCACCGAGCGCCCTTGGCGTTCATCCACCGGGACCAGCGACAGGAGCGCCGGGCGCGTCCCGTTAGATGGAGCCGGGGCGGCCGCCCCGAGCGAGCGGTCCCGGGGCGCCATCGCCGGGCGAGCGCTCGGGGCGGGGGGCGCAGCAGGGAGGGGAAAAGGGCAAAGCCCCGAGTGACAGCGGGACCGCGGCGCACTGCGAGGGGTCCCGGAGAAGCCTCACCGTCTTCGTGAGCGAGCGGCAGCTTGAGCGGGTTTTCCAGCAGGGACTTCAGCACGCCGTAGGTGGGCGGCAGGAACGGGGGGTTCAGCGGGAGCGGCCGCGACATGGTCGGTGGGGGCTGCCCGCGGCGGCGGGGAGGGGGCAGCTGCGCGGCGAGCGGTTCCTTCGCCCTTGCTGTAGCCGCTGTTCGCGGCGCGGGTGAGCCGGGCGCGGGGCCGGGCCGAGCGCCGGTGGCGAGGGGCGCTGGGGCCGCGGGACAGGGCGCGGACCGGGCGCGGGTCAGGCCCCTCCGCCGCGCAGCTGCTCCGCCGCCGCCGCCGCTCCCGCCGCCCGCTCTGCGCCGCTCTGCGCCCGCCCGCTCCGCGCCCACGTGCAGCCGCCGCCGCCGCTGACGTCACGCCCGAGAGCGGCCCCGCCATTGGTGCGCCGGCCCCGCCCCGCCCCGGCCCCGGCCACGCCCCGCCCCGGCCCCGCCCCGGCACGCGCGCGGCCGCTCGCTGGGGGGGGCAGCCCGGGACAGCCGCCCCGAGCCCCGCGGGCCGCGGCCCGCCCGGTAACCGGGAGGCTTGTGCTAATGAGATGCTAATGAGATGCTAACGAGCCTGAACGGCTGACCCCGCTCGGGGCTCCCCCGGGGCAGCGGGACCCGGCGCTGCCCGGTGTGAGGGGTCCGGGCTGCGGGGCTCGGCGCGCAGGGGGTCCCGCCCGTGACTAAGGAACCGGCCGTGGGCTCTGCGAGCGTTTCCCGCCGAGCTCCCCCTGCCTCTCTTCCAGGTGTCACCGTGGGGTGACAGTGCTGTCAGCAGCACGAGCAGGGCTCTCACCATCTCACAGAATCCTTCGGGCTGGAAGGACCTCCGGAGATCGCCCAGTCCCACTGCCCTGCCCAGGCAGGGTCACCCGCGGCAGGTGGCACAGGAACGTGTCCAGGTGGGCTTGGAACATCTCCAGAGAGGGAGACTGCACAGCCTCCCTGAGCAGCTGTTCCACGGCTCTTCCAGCCTCCATGAAAACAAGCTTTTCCTCACGTTGAGGTGGAACATTCTGTGTTTTAGTTTATGGCCACTTTTCCTTCCACCACGAAGAAGAGTCTGGACCCATCCTCCTGGCACCTGCCTTGGAGATACATACACTGATGAGATCTCCTCTCAGTCTTCTCCAGACCAAGGAGGCCCAGCTCCATTCAGACTCTTCTTGTAAGAGATGCTCCAGACCCCAAACCATCTTTGTGGCTTCTGCTGAACCCTCTCCAGCAGCTCTTTTCTCTCCTGTCCTCAGCAACCCAGGATGAGACACAACACTGCAGATGAACCTCATCAGGATCAAGTAGAGGGAGAGGTGCCACTCTTCCTAATGCACCCCAGGATCCCACTGCCCTCCTGGCCTCAGGGCACCTTGCCAGCCCATGGTCAACTTGTCATCTGCTAAGACCCCCAGGCCCTGTTTTTGCTCAAATGGGACTTTCCTCCCCACTCACCATGATCTGCATTCAAGCACGGTTGACTTTCCATCTGCTCTGGCCTTCAGCCCATGCAGGCTGTGCAAGAACCGCATTAGTCCCAGAGTAACTTCACCCTTTATGTGCCTGTGGGCATCTGTATCTCCCTTATTCTTGTTTGGGGTTTTCTTTTGGATCGCATTTTGCAAAGTTTTACCATCTGTGTTTGTTTGTGACTTTTTCTTCAAAAATCAGCTTTTAACCATCAACAAATATAAATAATCATAAATATTCACTAGAAGCAAATGAAGATAAGTTACGTGCATAAACTGCCCAGTATTTAGAAGTATAAGCTGCCTGAGGAACAGTTATGTTCTCCCCTTGTGTATCTACTGTATCTGTTAACGTGTGTGAGCAGGAACAGGACTCGGGAATGGCTGGAGCTGTGTCAGGGAGGGTCAGGCTGGATATCAGGAAAAGGTTCTTGCCCCAGAGGGTGCTGGGCACTGCCCAGGCTTCCCAGGGAACTGGCACAGCCCCAAGGCTGCCAGAGCTCCTGGAGCCTTTGAACAATTCTCTCAGGGATGCACAGGGTGGGATTGTTGGGGTGTCTGTGCAGGGCCAAGGGTTGGACTCAATGATCCTTGTCAGTCCCTTCCAACTCTATAGTTCTATAATCTGTTATTAGGTGCCTTGCTAAATGAACTGCCTAAAACAAGCAACTGAGCAAAGTCCAAAGTACACTCAAATCAATAAAACTGCACTGGCACAACCAAAAACATGAAGATTAGGGATTGTGACCATCAGGCCCCACAGAACCAGAGACAAGTGAAGGGAACAGACTCAGGGCATGGCTGAGCAGGGCTTGGGAGAACCTTGGGATGCCACAGATGCCACATGGTTCACCACTGGAGCAGGGGTGTGATAGCAGCTGCACAGGAGTTTTTAAGTGTCACCTAAGCAAGGAAAAAAGCCCTGGATTATTAAATGACTGTACACGTACCAATATTGCCTCAGATGGCCAAATTGGTGGTTAGTGGAAACCTTTAATTACAGAGGTACAGATGAGTGCCACAAAGATTAGGGTGATTGCCAATCCATATGCAGATGTGGTACAGAATGTTTCTTCTATGTGGTCTAAAGAAAAATAGATGCATTTAGGAGATATGATAAACAGCAAAGAAGAGTAAACAGAACAGAAGATGTACAAGTAATGGGCATACTGGGAAACACCAGTGACTAGTTTCCAGTGGAAGCTCGAGTACAGCTGTGTTTTTATGATTATTGATCCAACTCATCAGAAAGAAACAGCATTTTCAACACCACAGAAGGACACGAAACCTTCACTGCTTGACACTGAATGGGGTAAATTATAGGTAGATCAGTGCAAGTGTGGAACAAAAGGAAGCCTCTCTGAGCACTGTGTGTAGTTACAGACCCTGCTATTCCCAACACAGGAGCTGGGAATTTCCTGGATGAGAAAGCCAAAATAACTTCCTGATTTACAGACCAGCTAGCAAAGCTGAGCAGAGTACCTGAGCAGGGTGCTGGAGCTGTTATTTTCAGTGTCACACAACAGGAACAGTAATTTAACTCCAGCCATACTACACAGGCAGATTTCATCCCAATTAACCTAAATTCCAGGCTGTCAGGACACCACATTGTTTGTACATACAAATTAATGATTTTTACTTGCTACAATTTTCCAAAGGTGGCCTCTAATTCCTTTATACTGTTTTGGCCACTGGCTTACCCCACATGGTGCATGCCAGGTAAAGCCAACCAAGACAAAACAGAGCTAATTACACTATACTAAACTGATAATGAATGATACCACACTAAAATGATAATGAATTTCTCAATTTTTCACTTGCAATACAATTCCTGGCATGTGTTTTTAGCTTAGCATTCACCCATAAAATGTCTATTTTATGGCTTATGAAAGACTATGCAGCTGCTTAGTTTTTGTGTTGAAAATATCTTGATAGGTCCCCTATTTAAAAAAAATTATCTCAACCAGTATTTATATTTCTGCTCATGGTTGTTTCCATCGCTGGCATCAGTGATATGAAAAATCCGATTCTTTTCAAACCAAGCACCTAGTGGTTAATGTACCGTAAGATATTTTTTTTTTTCGGTGCGATTATTTTCCTTAGCAAAGACAATCTACAAGGCCATTTTAAAGTCGAAAAATCTTTATATACTTTTCAGGGGTCCTTGGTATCAAGGTGCACATTGATCACCGCCCTGGACCATCGCACCTGGGGTGCCCGAGCACCCGCGGTGGCCGAAGCGCCACGGGCAGAGGCGAGTCCCGAGCACCGCGGGGCGACTACCGGGGGGAGACCCGGGCACGCCGAGAGCTGCAGAGCGCTGGCCGCGGTGCCGGAGGCTCGGCGGGGGAGGCAGCGATGTGTCCGTGAGGGAAGGGCAGGGAGAAGGGAAGGGACGGCGGCAGGACGAGGACACGACCCCGGGTCCCTCACGGCGCCCCCGGGCCCCGCCCGCCGGTCACGCGGCTCATGGGGGGGGGGCAGCGCGCGCGGGGCCGTCACGTGAGCGCGCGCGCGCGGGCGCGGGCCGTGACCTACTTTGGGCCAATGGCGGGGCCGCGGGCGGGCGCGCGCGCAGCCCCCTCAGCGCACCCCCCCCCCCAGCCCCGCCACGGCCAAACGGGGCTGTCCGTGTGGGGGGAAAAGGGGTTCCTGTGGGAAAAGGGGTGTCCGTGTGGGAAAAGGGGTGTTCCTGTGGGAAAAGGGGTGTTCCTGTGGGAAAAGGGGTGTCCGTGTGGGAAAAGGGGTATTCCTGTGGGAAAAGGGGTGTCCGTGTGGGAAAAGGGGTTTCCGTGTGGGAAAAGGGGTATCCGTGTGGGAAAAGGGGTGTCCCGGTGGGAAAAGGGGTGTTCGTGTGGGAAAAGGGGTGTCCGTGTGGGAAAAGGGGTTTTCGTGTGGGAAAAGGGGTGTCCATGTGGGAAAAGGGGTTTTCGTGTGGGAAAAGGGGTGTCCCGGTGGGAAAAGGGGTGTCCGTGTAGGAAAAGGGGTGTCCATGTGGAAAAAGGGGTGTCCGTGTGGGAATGGGGGTGTCCCTGTGGGAAAAGGGGATGTCTTGGTGGGAAAAGTGGATGTCCCGGTGGGAATGGGGGTGTCCGTGTGGGAAAAGGGGTGTCCGTGTGGGAAAAGGGGTGTCCGTGTGGGAATGGGGGTGTCCCGGTGGCACAGGCCCTGCAGAGGGATGTTGTCGTGCCCAGTGATGGGGTGTCAGGAGTGTCCCGGTGGGAGGTTCCCCTGCCCTGCCGTGCCGTGCCGTGCCGTGCCGTGCCGTGCCCTGCCGTGCCGTGCCGTGCCGTGTTCTGCCGCCCAGGCGAGCGGCGGCTCCGGCCCTGGTCCCGCCATCGCCCGCCGTGTGCCCACGCCCGGCCCCGGGCACCGTGCGGGACGAGCCCTGGCCGGGCAGAAGCGTCCCGGGAGCTCCAGCGGCCGCCGCCGCTCGCAGCCGCTCCCGCCGGAGCCGCGCTCGGGGCGCTGCGGGTCAGACCTGCCTCGGCTCAAGGATGGCGCGGACCGCGGATGTCGCGTTTGGGTCACCCTTGGCCTGGCCTGCACTCGGTCCTGCCCTTAGGTCTCAGTTCGTGCCCCTTTGCTGAAAACTCAATAACCCCCTCCTGCCCCATCCAAGTTGTTTTAAACGCATTTTACAAAGGAGGGATTGCAGGCTGTAGGTAAAAAACTCCGGGACGGTTCATGAGATTAATTTTTTCCACTGTTTTGCAGCAGTTCCCATTCTCTTATACATTGCTTTGTCGTAGCCTGTAATGG